GAAGGTCTCCACTTCGGCCATATGGGCTTCAGCCTCTTGCATGGCAATTTGGTTGAAAGCAATGGATCGCATCTCAATGAATGCCTTTCAGCAAGAGGCGCCTCACTTCGGTCACTGTGCTTCAGCTTCAAGTGACGCTTAAGTTGATGCGCATTGCTTCATCATCTTTGATGATGTGAATTGTGGGCATTTAGCTGGACTTCTGTATGGCCTCCACGTGGGCTTTTTCTTGCACCTCTGTAGCGAGGCGTAGCATAGTTTTTGTTATTTCATAGTCCATGATGTGTATCCAAACGAGCAGGAAAAAATAGAAGTTGCCGATATGGGTTTGGTGACTTGTGAATTCTTGACCCCTCTCTATTGTTATGTCATGTGACTAAACCTAAGCTGGTGTGGGCTGACCTGAGTGAAAACCACTCCAATTTTTGCTTGAAGGAAATATGTACTGGTGCATGTTGTCTATTTTGGAACAGTAATATGAATCCGGATTCATTCATGGTGGGGACAATGAAGATAGCTCCATAAACTGTGTTTTTTAATAAATAAACATCAACGAAGAATTTCAATAAATTTGGGGTAGGTTATATGAATCATTCTTTCCGTTCCAATTTATCATTACTAGACCACTGGGACATATAAAGCAACTAGTCTTTAACAACTTTAATAGGCCATGTTAATTTAATTTTGTCCGTCCCCCTTCTAACTTGCTTAAAAAAATTGCACCTCGTTTTTGAAGGAGAGTGTCTTCATATCATTTGCTTATAACTCACTATATAAATTTAGCGAGTAGAAATCTAATATCAGGTCATTATCTGAGCCTGATGTGGTGTTTAAAGATAGTTCTTTTAATTACTTAGATAACTAAATATGCAGCTAAAGTGAAGAAGTAATTATTTGGCTAGCCTTGATATTTAAATACATGACCTGGTGTTTGGCCACTTATTTTTTGAGTTATCTGCTGAAATTTCTTATTTGAAATGTTGCACAGGGGAATTTAAGGATGGGAATGGAAGTTACTGGTTCTTTTTCACTACCAAGCCTAGCGGCGACCTTGTCACTGAGGATGGTTATTGGAGTCCTATCATGGATGCAGAAATAACCGATGGCGCTAAAGTAGTTGGTTTCAAGCGTCATCTTGTTTTTTACCAAGGAAAAATGTCTTCAGGGACTCAAACTCTCTGGAATGCACATGAATATAGAGTGAATCCCAGAATATTTACAGCTGTTGAACTCAATGACGGCGTAAAAAATAAGGTAATAAATTTATAGGCTTGATTCATGCACTGGAATTGCAAAATCTTAAGCACCATTAATGTAGTAGGTTTAAGCGATAAGTGCAGATAATATTCCACGGCAATAATTAGTTGAATGGTGGGTTAAAAACACCAGTTGTCACTGAAAATTTAGCAAATTTGACGTTGATTGCTAATGTTTTTTCCAAATTGATTGCTCAACTTTAATTTTTTTTTTTTTTAAGATGGTCTCTGGACTTAAATGTTTGTTGCACTTGGATGATTCCGTAATTCTGTTAGTCAAGCTAATGAAATGACTAAAGTATAACAGTTAGGTTGACTAGAGTTCAGCAACCAATATAAGATTTGGTAACAAGTTCACTGACCACAAATAATTGATCAGTCGGTAGGATTCTTGATTTGTGCAAGCATAAATTAAGCTATTTGCTCGTACGGATTCATTCTTTCTCCTTTCAGATATCAAATCTGGTAGTATGCAAGATTTTCCATATGGAAGATGATCCAGTTACTGATTCTGATGGAGAGATTTAGGATGACTAATCACAAGAGGAGGAGGAAGCTGCTGATTCGAGTAACAAACGGACCAAAAGAGAATGATGAAGCTACCTCATGCATTAACCGTTGGAGTCACCATTGGCCTAATCAGAACTTTTCGAGAGGATATGGGAAAGTAGCTAAAATTGTAGTATTAGCTTTTCAGGTATCAAACTCTAAAGGAACGCTGTACCGATTTTATTGCAATAACTCTGTTAAGTCTGTATACAGAATGGAGTACTTAAATGTATAATCAATAATGTAATGTTCTATGGATTCATTTGATGCTAGCATTATATACATCTTGTGTATAATTAGGTGCATTTCGTTTTTCTTTCCATGCAGTGACCACTAAATTGATGCAGAAACTGGCCTGTTGCAGTGGAAATGGCCACCAAATTCTCTCTGGTGGCTGTGCTCGCTAACTGGAACTTTGAAGCATCTTTATTTTAACGAA